TTGACTGCTAATGGTAGACTGTTGACTGTTGGCTATCCAACTCGCTGAACGATGAGCGCTGAACACTGGCCTCTGACTGCTATGTGGTCACTGTTGACGACGTCTGCTGAGTAAGACGAGTGCTCACTGCTCAGTGCTGACGGATCCGACCGTGGCTGCTCAGTCGATGGATTTTCGGTGACTACGACTCCAACTCCGGCTTCTAAAAACTGACTCTTCCTCCGACTACGAGCAAAGCTGTCGAATTTGACCGACTTCGACTCCGCAGCACTGATTCTGAGTTCTGACCACCGATTCCTAGTGTTGAGAGCTTTACCTGACCTTGAGAGTTCGTGCCTGGAAGAGTGGACCTACCCCGCGGTGACTATTCCATCGTTCATCTCCCACGGGTAGCGATAGGATCACTAACACTGAACAGCTGCAGTGCAAGATACAGCCCCGGGCTGGCTAGCGATGCCCTTGACCGGTTTCTGACTGGATTGTACCCATGTCTCTACGGTCGACATCGGCCTCGACAGCGTCTGTATATAATATATTGGTGCGCGTATATTGCCTTGTCTACCTATATTAGACATAGACATTTTGGCTGGAGACTTCCAGTTTGCGGTTAACTCGCGTTTATTTTGGTGGCTAACTTCCTTACACGCGTGTAGCTGCCCACCAACTTTTACCCGGGGACTTCCATCCGCGGTTAACTGGTGGGTAGCTACACGCGTGTAAATATTTAAATGCCGACTTACACGCCAGTTTAAAGGGCTTCCCGATCAGCTGATCGGGATGCGGCGATCAGCTGGTCCAATGAACAAGTGCGTAATTCCGTTATTTATGGGACCGGTGGCCCCCAATCAGCGTTTTTACACATGCAATGAGTACAGCCGTAACAATGGGATGTGGTGATGCATTAACCTAACCAGAACAGCGTTTGAAGCCGTGCCAATCAGCATCAATAATGCTAATCGCCTTGTGATATTTCACTCTGTATGGCCGACCGCCAGTCTACTGCATGATCTTGCAACAGCCGTATCTCAGATTACTCGTCTGCCCTCGTCGGTTCGTCTCCGTCACCCCCCGTCCTCACCCCCGCCCCGTCACTTCACCGGTGAGGCGTCGTCGGTGTCCAATTCAATGCCACACAAAGGACGATTATCACCGAGTGATCAGTTTAATATGTGCGTGTCGCGGGGGTGGCTAACGTTCCAACGGCGCAGGATCCGGTCCACCACCAGTGCCCATTTGCTGCCGTTTAAACCGCTAATGGTTCTTTTTGGCCGTCCTTTTCATATCTCTCCAGAGCTGTGTCAGCTGTTTCTAGTCCCATTTTTCTTCTGACCTTGCATTACAGGCTGTAACAATGTTCTTCCAAGACCGTTTTCGTTCTTCATCACTCCTTCCATCGTGTCGCTTATTTTCGATGACTTTTACTTCAGTCTTCATGACATCGGCTAACAAATGCATGTCTCTACTGCTGATATTTCTGCTCCTCTTCTTCCTGTCCATGGTTGTTGACCGGAAACTCGCATTGCTTTGCTTCCACTGAGCTGGTCCTCGCCCCACTGACACGTAACGCGAAGTGCGACGACAGGGGCCCGACACTAGCCGGCTGGCTCGACGATCACATTATTTCGGATGCGATACGAATCCCATCTCACTATCCCGAAGATTACGAAATAGCAGCTGGTGGCAAGGAGATAGGTGCGATGGAAATAGACTAATACCTAGGTATTTGAAAATTTGAGTCCTACATCCTCAATTCTGTCAACTCAAATATTGCTCTGATTACTCATGTATGACTTGTTGAAAACATCTGGATACTTGCAGTGATGAAATACGTAATTTGTAACCCCTCAACAAGCACAGAGGCCAGTTTAACCAACAGAAAAATAGCCGCCAGGCGGAATTTTTTGCCTAAAGACCGTTTCACATACGGAGTGTAAACGCTATAAGCACGTAAGCGGATAGGGCTTTACCGCTCTCGATCCGTATGTGAATCGGCCTTTAGGCGAAAAATTCCGCCAGGCGGCAATTTTTCTGTTGGTAAAACTGGCCTCAGTACTATGAAAAGGTGACCTCAAATTCGTCTAATCTTAGCAACCGAACGGCGAGGCCGAACTGGCTGAAAAAGCCAGAACTAGATGATTGCACTGTTGTCTATCACTTGCACATAAAATTTGCACAGAAATAAACTTTTAAAAACCCCTAAGGACCAAAAAAGCACCACCGAAAAGATACCCGCGAACTTAATACATGGGGTGGCTCGCGTGTAAGTTCGTTCGCTAACTTAGCGAACAAACTATTTACCCGCAGATGGAAGTCTCCGGGCAAAGTTACCCGCCGACTTAAACGCGAGATAAACGCCAACTTACCCGCAAACCACTTACACGCGACTTACCCGCGTGTGGAAGTCTCCAGCCTTTATGGGTGTAGTGTCATCCATCCAGTCTTGGGTCGGGAGTACAGAGTTGGTGCAATCATAATGTCACTTTTCTCTGGAGCATTTGGGTGCTGGGGTATCTGCCACTGAACTCTTCAGCTGACGCAGGGGCACGGGAACTACTTTCCGACTGGGGGCGGGGGGGGGGGGGGCACACCATAATAGAGATCAACCTAGGGTACCCCCAAATCTAGTTTTCTCACCGGCTTTAGGCCACTTATTTTTCATCCCTCGGCTTTTTTAACAAAGAAGAAAACATTTGCGAAAAAGTGTGGTATTCCGTCTCAAAGCTGTGGGGGCACCGCCCCCACGGTCCCTGAGTTTGGGGGGGGGGGGCAAGCTGTCCCCCGGCTCCCGCGCCTATGAGCTGACATGAATTACATATTGAATATGTCAAGTCGATTATGTTTGCGTGATGTAAAGAACATGCAAGGCATTTGCAAGTTGTCGCATACCCTGGCCTGTTACATGCTTGGCTGCTTCTTAGTCGTAAAGCTCAAGTTTAATCGTTCGTAAACAGTCCAAGCTGCGCATTTAGGTTTTATGTACTCCAAATGTGTAGGCTATCGCGTGACTGTAAGACCTCAATCTGAGTATCATGAGCAGTACCAACACCGTTGGTCAGGTATCTTCAGCTGTGAATTTTCTTGGCTGGACTAAAAATAACCAAGCTGTTGTTATATAACAGCAGAAAACCAGAAATGGTGGGAGCAAACACGTGAAAAGCAACGCGTTACCAAAACTGCTCCGTTTGTTTTTCAATAGAAAAAACAATTCTTACGAAAATTGTTTGTTTATTTTAAACAATCTAGTTCTACGGTTATAGTTGACCCGCTTCTAGGAGTTACATAGAAGCGGGTCAACTACAGGGTGTCTCAAAAGTTCGCTTACACATTTCCCATGCCAATAAAGCATATAAGAACCGGCCAAAAGTATAAGGTTTTGGTGTCTGTGTGTACACTAGACAAATATGCATGCTTTGACAACTGATTAAGAAGGTTAGAAACCAACCCCTTTGCTGTATCTCCAAAAATATTTGCCCATACCGATTTTTGTTGCTCCGTCAGCTGCCGGAGGCTGATAAAAGGTTACCAGCTTTCAAGCTCTTGCAGGGGAATCCCCTGCAGTTTCTGCGTCGGATTTAGTTTTGACTAGCTCCCCGGCAACATCTGATTTTCCATGAAAGCCGACAGCTTGCATCGACACCATTCATGAGTATTTTGTAGGCATTCTCTGGCGCTAACTCCTTCATGAATGACTGGCGCCGACATCCCAAGCGCCATTTTCCTTTTCAAAACGACCCCAGTCCTGAACAAACGGGAAGTGCCAGGAGTAAATTTTTCGCATCATATGGTAGCAGAATGTGTCGGACGTCTGTTTCTCAGACACATTGTGCAAATTTTGCAAATTCCAAGCGCTCGTCATTCCCCATGCCAAGACCTTCGCTCGGTTGCGGAGTGTTTTCCTCGGGAGAGGTTCTGCTTTGTAAACGGCCCAAACCTGTCCATTGTGTGGTTTTATCGGGATTTTGTGTTTAAAAGAAAATTATTCGCTGCAGATCTGCCTCTTGAAACTTCGTTAGATAAAATTTTACAATAACTGACACTTTTGGAGGGTCAGGTGTCCTTGGCATTGACGATTTTTGTGTTATTGTCCCCAAAAATTAGCGTTATAGATATTATAAACAATTTTAAATTATAATTTGCCTTTATTTTACAATGACCTGCACTTTTTGAAAATGGGTAACCTCTGTCTGTGACCTTCTTGCCAGTTTTCAATAGTTATGACCGCATTTTCAGCTGCTTTCCGGAACACGAGTCTGCTGTCGTGCGAGGGTCGTTCAAAACGCCGTTAGTCTCGCATGGTTTCGTCCTTCAAAAATTTTAGCCACCGTTTTTATGAGATGATCATCATGTTGCACTCATCCTCGCCGACACTTAGCCATGTGTCATTTCCGACTTAACCATTCCCATTACTCCTGAAACAGAGAGTTTCACAACATACCCGACTTTGCAACCTACATTTTCGTGCCTGACCCATGGTCAGAGGTGAACCCTTTTTGTGAGCTCATGAAGGTTCGAATGCACTTGAAAACAATGAGACTGCTTGAGGAAGGTTGTCACCAATGCCCATGCGAAATTTCGACTTTTAATTTCTTGTTGATTCAGAATTATTGACAAAGAAGCATGGCTGGTATACCTGTAAGCGAACTTTTGAGACACCCTGTATTTGTTTACGTCTTGCGAAGTTGTAATTTGTAAATAGGTTAGCTCACGTTGCACATGCACATAGAGATGAGATAGACATGAAAAATTCTGGCGATGTTTTTGACCACCGGCCCTAAACATTTCATTAACCGTCTCCAGTCACACCTGTGACTAATCGTCCCGATGTCTCCCAGGGGACTGTCACTGCACCGCTCCTCTCGAGTCTGACCTTGGGGCGGCTGTGTGGTGTCGGTACATGCGCCGCTGCAGTCCCGGCAGGCGGAGGGGGCGGGGCTGTCGGTTCCAGTGCCGGGGGAGGGGCGCCCCGCGGGTCGCCGCCTGCTCGGCCAGCCGGCCGGCAGTTAGTTGGACGGGAGAAAGCACGGTGACGGTTCGATGCCGGGCGGCTGGCGGCGGCAGACCGAAATCGAGAGCGACGGAAGCGCCGGGAGTGCTGTAGCGTCGGAGGTGTGCTGGCGATAGGTCAGGGGTCGCGGAGCAGCTGCCGGAGAGGTCATAGGTCACGACACAGGTGAGGTTCGGAGGACGTGAACATGCGATCAGGTGCAAATTGATGTGAATGTAAGCATGTTTTAAGAAATCCATATATTTAAGAACCAATTTGCGAACCACCCAGTCAGTCTCGATAAAAGCGGATGGGTTTTCACTTTGAACGGTTGAATGTCTTCAGGCTTCAACAAAAGAAGCAGAAGGCTGTTGGTCGGCTGCCGGGTGTTGGTACTGTTTTAACCCGCACCCGGCTGGGGGTCCTGGATTTCCACGCCCTGCTGGGGGGGGGGGGGTGTTTGAACACCCCCCCTTCTAACTCGGCTCCTGGGCCACGTAGCGATACGCGGAAGGCAGCGTTCGAAAGAGCGTCAAAAATAATGAGGAAATCACATCGGTCAATTTTTTGGTCAGGTCAAAGGTCAGGTCACCAGAGGTCATCGAAGGCAAAATTTCGCCGATTTCCAGGTCGAATGTCGACAATTTCCAAGAAGCCAGCGCATAACTCGGGAACCAATAGAGCTACAGCGCCGCGGAAAAGCGCATTCGATAGCCCTATTAACGCCCTTTCTGAGTAATTCTTTCAGATTTGACCTAACGTCAACGGTTTTGCCTGCAGGGGGCAAAAACTGCAAAAATAGCCGATTTTTTCGGAAACAGTTTTTCTGCAATAACTTTTGACCCAAGCCTTGTACGAGCTTACTTTTACCAGCATCGTGTTCCTCTCGTCAAGACGCATCGAATGAACTATAACTTGACCTTGAAAGATCAACTTGAAAATTTGACCTCAGGTCAAGGTCATGACCTGACCGGAAAGGGTCATGTTGCATATCAGTCGATCCGTATCGTCGAGCTGAACACATCTAAGGCGTTTTCATCGCTCTAGCATGCCTCTATCAACAGTTATTTGCGAAAAACTGTTAGATACCATTCGTGACCTAAGATTACCTCAGGGCATAAACAGGTGTCACGGACACCATTTCCATGTTCAGTGTGTCTAAACCACTTGTAATTCAGTGTTTGGGAGTGTTTATAATGTCTTTCGTCCAAAAGAGGCGCATTTCAATTTTCTCCCATTGACTTATAATGGGGAGGTCGCAAAATTGACCTGACCTTAGGTCATCGATATCAAAATTCTGAGATATACATTTTGTACATGCTATTGCTCTTAGCAATCGCTGAAAGTTTCAAAGCGATCGGCCACTCGGTGTAGCTATGACAGACATTGAAACTTTTTATGAGGTGAGGTCACTTCAAGTGACCTGGTGACCTGACCTTGAATGACCTTGGTCTGAAATTTTCACAACATGTGTAGAATTTATGTATGATAAGGTGTACCAAAAACGGCGGCGCTCCGCGCCGCCGTTTTTGAGATATTCGCGAAAAACCACAAGGGGGGTGTTCAAACACCCCCCCCCCAGCAGGGCGCGGGTTAATAGGTTAATTGTTTATAGCCGGCCCGAAGGCACGCCCCGAGAAAGGCCCTGCTGAATTTTCGACTCTCGTATTCAGATCGCGCTGCCTTTTTAATCGAGGCATTGCAATGTTGTTGCAAGGCCTAAAGTAAGAGGTGCACTCCATTAGACGTAACATCTGCTTTGTTTAATGGTAACATGCCAATTACCTATTCGCATGTGCGTTATCTACGGATTGCACACAATGTCGTTCACATCGTGACAGCTGACAAATCTCTTCATCGAATATTGTTTTCCTCGGGAGTCATCTAAAGTCGACATAACAAATGACACGATTAACGCAGCGGAGCATTCAGGTCAGGCGTGTGAAGCGAATTAAATTGGATACCTATATTAAAGGCATACAAACACATGGGCATATCAAAATCGGAAGGCGCTGCAGAATGCCCTGCGCTTTAGGATTGTACGAACAGTTATGGTATTAGGAACATTGTACTGTTTTGTGGTAGGTATGCCGGATAGGTAACCGATAAGCTTGTATACAGCGATGATCTCGGCTACTTTAGCGCGCCTTCTTTACTTCCCAAAGTCTCCCCACCCAGGCTCCCAATATGGCATTCCTCCGTAAAAGCTTAAAGATGTCAGTCTCTACATATGTAGGCATAAATTTTATATTATTGTTCTAATTTTAATAATGATGGAGGGGCCCGACTTGCGATGCCTGACCTAAGCGTCAATCTATGGCGATCCTGGAATGACCTTAACGCCCCGTGTCATGTGGGCACGGACACATTATGATAGTAGGTCAAACATCCCCTGGACAGGTCCACCATGACCTGGGCGATGGCAGGTGCCAGGTGACCGGTCCACGGTGAACGGGTCGGGTTTTTCTGCCGCCAGGTCGTCTGACCGGCCGGGAAACTCGGCCGACACACACACACACACACACACACAGATCACACCAGGATGCCGAGTGAGGACCGCCTGGCGCTGGTACCCGGCCCGGAGGAAGCCGAGGAGGACCCGGAGAGGGAGGATTCGCTCCCCATCTCCCCACCGTCGCCCTCCTCCACCGTCGACCTGCCATGGGCGTGCGCTATGGTGTACCGTCGGCCCCCGCTGCCGCCGGGCGCTGGCCGACTGGCGGCGCTCAGTGCCCTCCTAGTCGCGCTCTCTGCGCTCCTGCTGGTGCAGCTGGCGCTGCTGCGCGACGCGTCGCGCGCGGCGGGCGTCGGCGCGTACCCGGCGGCGGCGGCGCTGGCGCTGGTGACGCTGGCGGCGGCGGCGCCGGCGGCCGCCGTGGCTCTCTGGAGGGGCGGCCGGCCGGCGGCGCCGGGGCGGCTGTCGGTGGCAGCGGCCCTCTGCTCGGTGGGGAGCCTGCTGGTGCTGGCTGGGAGACATCAGAACCGGCTGGGATGTAACGTCCAAGACCCGCTGGTAGCGGTCGTCATCGTGTTCGCCTTCATGGGTCACCTGCTGACCGCCTCCAAAGGTGAGAAGGTTATGGTGCCACCGCCTCTAAAAGTGAGAGCCACTGAGGGGGTTAGCATGCCAACCGCATCCAAAGGTGAGAGGGAGAGCATGATGACCGCCTCCAAAAGTGAGAGGGAGCCTGGGAGAGCATGATGACCGCCTCCAAAAGTGAGAGGGAGCCTGGGAGAGCATGCCGACTGCCTCCAAATGTGAATCAGGTCGTATGCGTGTCCTGGCAATCGACAGAAGGCACCTGGGCTGACAACTCCGTTTTTTTTCAATGTTGTTTGCTTTCTTTGCGATTTAGGCCGAAAGCGCCTTGCAAGCTATGCAATTTGCGTCAAACCCTTAAACTGACCAACAAGAGATATCCCTGCATGTTTCCGAGTTTTAGTTATGCCATATTTACATTGTAAACACATGTAGCTGCTATCTGCTGACCTTGTTTCTAAATCATGTCGCGATTACCTATGTTAGCGGGAACATGCTTTGTAGACTGATTTGCGGGGATTGTGGAATTCGGTGATAATGCTGGAGTGTTGCCTGTGATATCGTACCCATGTCATGCACATGTACCTACTTGCGGTCGCGACGACCAGAGGCGGCCAGACTTAGACGCATCATATTTAGTAAATCTAGGATTAAGGAAGGGAGGTGTGCCACGATTACAATATAAAGTGAATCAGCTCATAAAGGAAAACGCGCACATGACCAACAGAACACGCAGGGAACTGGGGAGATTGCCAAGATTAAGAGGGGCGATAAGCAGTAGCATTGCTGGTTCCTGCGGCATTAATACGCGTATTTGTGGGTAAAAGGGAGCTGTGACAAATACGTTTAGCACTCACAACCTTCCTCACAGAAGGATGATTCACAATTACAAATTGCCAAGGGCCTGAACCTCAGCTAAATGCCCGAACTCGCGATAATCTGCTTTATTTTCATTTTGCTCACTAGATGGCAGCAGAGTCAAACGCCTGTAGGTATACTGCACCGCAGTACATTATAACTACGGTCGCCCATACAGAGGTTGTTCCTTGTTCCCGACTCCCGTGCGTGTGTCATGTTTCGAGGCTGGCGTTGCGATACGAAGTGTACTGTTTCTTTTTGGGGTACAAACACTGAAGATGAGTCCACCTACCTTTCACTCTTATAATGACTCATCCGTACTCTATTCCCGTCTTCTCCTTAGCGACAGCAATAAAGCACATAAAGATAACTAACTAGCCCAGTTCTCCATCGCTCCAATGTTACCATATTGCGCCGGATGTCTGGTGCTCACTACTACTCATCCTGTGGGATTTTCTCCACCATATCCGTCCGTCCACGGTGCAATGAGCAGCGCATAACCACGGTTCAGCGGGAACGACAGCGAAAGCGATGACACGGCGAAAGCTGCAACTAGCCAGTTTTGTCGCATGAAGATACGGAGTAGAGCTGTCGTGATCACGACGGGAAGAAAGCTGAAAGGTCGTGAGTCGTGTGTCGTGAATCTGAGATTTGGAATTTCCATGCGAGCTCACACTAGATTCCGGATAGTTCGTTCGTATACCCAATCTCCCGCCCGACGTAACCTATTTGATCCCTGTTGGGTGCCCGGCTGAGTGTCGTAGCCGCTAGTTCATTGTACGTACGGAACGTTCGTGATATTTACCACACGGCGTCAGGAGCACGGGCTGGTCACGTGCTGCAGGGCTACATAATTCGATGCTCAACGTGCTACAATTGTATGACGTCAGCATTCCTCCTGCCGGAGCCCCCAGCCGGCAGAAGCGGCTGCGGTGAGGTCAGAGATAGGCCATAGGTCGTGACCTTACCGTGTACTTTAACCGGGTGAGTTAATCTCCAGTAACGAAGTGACTCCCCAAATAACTTGCGCACCTTTCTGACTAGACCGCTCTCCTGTTTCTCTGTACCGACATCTGACGGCCAATTTAGCTGCAGCCTGCACGCTGCTGGGCTGGCACAAATGAGGCAGAGGTGGGAGTAACTCCCCACCTCTCTCTTCTCTGCAGATCTATTGCGCCGCGCTCTCAGTAACACCTTACCACTAACTCGGCAGGTGCTGCTGACCTTGCATGGATACACGGTGCTACGTATGCCCCTGACATGTGCCGCCTCCAGCTCTGCCAACGATGTTTGCCGACAAGTTTGCGGGCATACGTCAGCAAGACTGAGAGTTTCTAGCAGCTGGCAGCTGCCAGCTAACATACGAATACCTATATGTATTGCATATCTATAACAGTGCGAACAGATGTACAGACAAGATATTTTTCTGCGTAGGTTGTTTACGACAAAACACTGTCAACCTATTCATCAATCGTTGACAGAGCTTTGTTTTAGTCATGTAGGTAACCTGAACTGTAAAATGGAACATGACGCTTTCTTTAAAGTGATCCCTTCTCTCCATTCGCTTTCCTTTCCTGTTGGAGTTGGACTGACGGACCCACTGCATTCCATGAAAGGGGAGTAAAGCAGACGAACTCGCTGACTAAGCTTGCAAAGTCAGCTATGATGACTGGTTAACTTTCGCAACTAGAGAGCTGAAGCGATGTAGCTGGCTGGTGCAAGGCGTCACGATAAACAAGGTGGCAGGGCGCACGGCGGGTGCAGGGAAGCCGTTCTGTTGACTCGGCCAGATCTGCTGCAATGTTGCAACTTGCATCAGCCGGCATCACCTTGTTACTCATCGGATGGTGACGGGGTTGTCGTTCTTCACGCTTCGCGATGCACCACTCCCTGATGGCCGAGTTTGATGTAATAAAAACACCGCAGGGACGATAGATGAGATAAAAGTACAGAGAAAGAAGCGGAGGCGAGAGGTGAGCCACCGATGTGACTCTCTCCCTCTCTCTCTCTCTCTCTCTCTCCCACTCTCTCTCTCTCTCTCTCTCCCTCTCTCTCCCTCTCTCTCTCTCTCTCTCTCTCTCTCTCTCTCTCTCTCTCTCTCTCTCTCTCTCTCTCTCTCTCTCTCTCTCTCTCTCTCTCTCTCTCTCTCTCTCTCTCTCTCCAGGTGTTTAATTGCCGCCAACATTTGTTGCCTTTTTTCGTAACCTGCAGCTGCCCCATGAGGGGCATTTGGGGCATTTGCCGTTCCGCAGCACGAAATTGACTATTTTTCCCCACGTCAAAAACTGGAAATCTTATTTGTGAAAAGATCTTAAATTGCACAGTGGCGCATAAACGTCCGATGAGTTTTGGAAAACCGAGACACTTTTTTTTGAAAATGGGATATCATGCCTCCCGAGTAATCCTATTTACCACCTTTCTGGATGAGCCAGTGGCACCCGACAGCCCGACAAAGCCCATTAGCCCACCATCTTGTCAACCAGCCCCTCTGGCTGTCTCGGTGCACGTGAACGGAGATGACCCCATGGATCACCATGCCGGCCGGTTTTTACGCAATGCGCCGCTTTGGTCGCCGGGCGCACGGCCGCCCCGCGCCGCTGGCGCTTTCACCGACCGGCCGGAAACAACGCTCGGTCGTGTAACCGCATTGGCTTGGTTTGCTCGGCGACCACTGGAACGATATTAGACATAGCTCAGCAACAGAGCGTGAGAGAATCAATTACACACTTGACACACTTTTGCACCGGATGAAAACATTGCGTGTGGTTGTTTGAAGGGTAGGTAAACGCTCGAGGTTGGGTTGGCGCAGTCGGGTCAAGTTAGCTCGCGTCGGATCAGGGTTGGATTGGGTAAGGTATAAGGTTCGCCCCGGGCTGGGTGGTTTAGGGTCAGGGTTGGGTCAGAGGAAGTAAGATCAAGGTCCGCTCCGCCCCATGTCGGGTCAGGTCGCATTGATGGGCACAAAATCGCCTTGGCAGTCGGAACGGCCAAAAGCACAAGTAAATAAACAAATAAGTGTCAAGGCGGGTCGAGTCAGGTCAATGTTTGTCCCAGTCCAGTTGGTATCTAGTCGGTTCAGGCCAATATCAGTGTCAGATCGAGTCGAGGTCCGGTCTGGTATTGTTCGTCTCCGGTCCGGTTCCGTTCAGTCAGGATCTGGTCAGGTCAGGTCAGGCTGGTTCCCCGACTCTATACGTTGTTCCGGTCCCGGTCGGACCCGGCTAGATACCGTGGTTGACAACCGACCCGCACTAAAACTGGTTAGTCGACAAAGGCTTCTTGCGTCTCCTGTCGGTCGGCCGTACCCGGACGATGATGGTGCGTTATGCAATGCTAGAGTGATTGGCCGGCTGGAACTGACAGCGGTTGCAGATAACCATCGACGCTTCAGATGGGGTCACCGTTTCGTAACGGTGGGGCTGAGGATGGGGTTGGAGATCTATTTCTGCGACAACTATATCTTTAGGTACCTAAGTAAGAACTCGATGGTGCGCTTAGATTCGGCTGTCTGAATCTAAGGGTACGCTTAGATTCAGCTCTCTGAAATGCACGTATCTGAAGGAACAGCACTGAACGTTTTTAACGGCTTTTTAAAGGTAAGTACCTACTTATGTGTCGTACATATGTACAAGGTGTGATGCATGATTTTACGGGCGTTTCTCGTTATAATGCTGTACAACATGTAACCACTTTGCTGGCTGCTGCTTATACCGGTGGGCGTGGTATAATAAGCTTACAGTTGTCGTTTGAATGTGCAGGACCTGCCTTCAAGGCTATATGTACTTACATAGTGATCCGCCAGGACCGCGTGGTGAATGTGTGTCCATTTCAGCTATATACACTATAGCTATTATTATATACCATGCATGGCTAGTATCTACTGGTCTGAACTAATTGAAAAGCTAATCCAAGTGCGGCGCCCTTGCTTTCAGCCACCCGTATGCCTCATTAGCTATTAAACTGCGCTTTGTTTGTATGAGCATTGTCAGCGATGAGAATCGTGAGGGCCGTCTCGGCTGCCGTTTTAGACCGAGATTGACTGGCTCAGCCTGTTGAGTGATCAGGAAGCGGTTTTCCGAACTCGTACGCAATGTTGTCGAATGTTTCCGTCTTTCAATATAACTGGTTAAAGCTTTTCTCAGCTAGCCGCTACCGACTAGGCCCAGTGGTCGTTCCTGTCGTGCATGATTATTCAATTAACTGTTTCCGTGTGTCCAATCTTGAGCCAAAGAACGTCTCTTTGTTTAACTGACCTTTTTAAATGTGTCCCTCGGCTAAAAATAACTGATCCCGTATGTTCCATATCCAGTTGACTGACTCGTATGTTATCCCATCTAACGACTGATCCCTGACTGATCCTATGTGCTCCCCAGTGCCCCAGCCCAACCAACTGACCTCGTACGAGTAGAGTAAGGTGTCTCCTTGTCAAGCCGACTGACTGACCCATATTTCTCCCCTTCCGCCAGTGCGACTCCGCTCCACCATAGCCCAAGTAGTCGTCTGTCTGGGCCTCTTCATCGGTGTCAGCTACCAGGCGTGCAACAAATACAGTTGCCATGGCAACGACCACAGCGGTAGCTGGCGAAGTGCCGGGGTCGCCGCTAGGGAGCAGCACGTTCTTTGGGTGGCAGTGGGGGCCAGTGGTCTGGCCATGGTCTGCAGCGCCTGCATGGTGCTTGAGTCACACTTTCACAGCCAGAGCGGCAAGGTGAGAGAGAGAGAGAGAGAGGGGGAGAGAGAGGAGAGAGTGGCGGAACGGGTCCGTAAAAAGCATGGCGGGATCGTGATGGAAGGTAGCGAGAGGGAGAGAGAGAGAGAGAGAGAGAGAGAGAGAGAGAGAGAGAGAGAGAGAGAGAGAGAGAGAGAGAGAGAGAGAGAGAGAGAGAGAGAGAGAGAGAGAGAGAGAGAGAGAGAGAGAGAGAGAGAAAGGGAGAGAGGGAAGAGAGGGAGAGTTGCTGATTCGTGTGTCACTGAGGCCGTCAGTGGTGGTGAAAGGCTTTACAAGCGACCGCAGACCAAATAGTGTCAAGCATTGTCGGACTTTAGTTCAGGTGCTGAGCGCCTCAGAATAGGCTTGTTTTCCAAAGCTTCTCAACTCTCGCTAGATGTTATTTAAGTGACACTGCTTCATGAGATTTACCCACTTTCAAATGCTTGCCGGCTTTTACTAAACAGCGGCCGGTTTGCCTACATATTTTGTTTTCATTTCATCATTTCTTGAACACTGAGCTGTTGAGTGTTGGCTTAATTACCTCGTCATTCTCCTTTAAACTAAATGACTGTAAATGATGCAATTTTCGCTTTTCCCTCTTCATCTACATCATCATCATGGATATGCCATCTCGTCTTATATAGGTACCCCTTTTCAGTGAACCCTCCTATGGCAGTTCAGTCTCCCCTCCTCTCCCCCACCTTGTCTGACATCCACCCCCCCCCCCCACCCCCACCCACCCCCAGGGAGGTCAGAGCTCCTGGTGGGACGACATTGACATGGCCTTGCCCGAGTACTAACCTCTCTCCTCTGCCTCCCCCCATCTCTCCCAGGGAGGTCAGAGCTCCTGGTGGGACGACGTCACCAGCACTGGCCTGATGACCGCCGCCTCGTTCGTCACCGTCTCCCTTCTCTTCTGGGTCGACCTCGTCCCCGGCGTCGGAGAGGTGCGTACTTTACGGGATCATAAAGTTATCTATCGTAGGTAACGCGATTCAAAAGCTGCAATGCACGTGTATTTAGGTTACTTTGTTGGTTGAAACCATAAGATCATAGCTTATTTTGTCCAAATTTCAATCAGTGCTAATTTATTCCAGTTGATCTGTGTCGAGCTGTGCTGGCTAATCGGCTCGTTTCAACAGTTCTCTCGTTTCTGATGGTTGCTTTAGGCGAACAACGATATGCAGTATGCACTAAACTGAAACATTTCTACTAACTATGTTCAGACTTCAGCTGCATGCTTCGGCGTGTATTTTGTCGGCAGCTAACCGCATAGTGCACATTCGCTACAGGCATTGTGTAATGTGTTTTGTACCGCACGTAATGTGTGAAACCATTGGTGTTGCACGGATGCGGGATGCCCACGTGTTGTTAGCTCTGTTGTGTACAAAGCAGGGCTGCGGAGTCGGAGTCGGAGTTGGAGTCGGTCGGAGTCGACTGTTATGCCCGGAGTTGGAGTCGCCAAAATTTTACCGACTCCGACTCCGGAGAATGAGTTAACGCTGCATGGCTCATCTTCATGCACTGTACCTGTTTGATTGACGATAATGCGCTCGAAATTAGATTTTGTCGAAAAGGGTCATTTTGCTGCTTTGGACGAACGTTTACAGCGAAAGGAGCAGAAAACGATGAATTCTCAAGAACCTGCTTTTTAAATTTGCATGTTATTTTTAATGCATATTTGAAAAGCAAAGCTTTGGAACGCACAAAGGATCGTTTCAGGCAAAGGATCGTTTCAGGATAAAAACATCTCCATTGTGAATTTAAATATCACAATCAATTTGGATTTTAATAGAACCCTTAAGAGTCGGAGTTGGATTCAGAGTTGGAGTCGATTTTGAAGTCGGAGTCGGAGTCAGAGTCATCCTAAAATCCATCGACTCCGCAGCCCTGGCACAAAGCGCACGGGCTAGACTCCCTGTTGAACGGACACACCGTTTATTGCACCGGGACTATTCAGGCTCACAATGACCGTGCAATACAGACAGCTGTGTCATCTCGCCCTAAACCACCCCGGTTGGGTCAGGATCCGGAAGTTGTTTTCGCAATTCGGCTCCGGCTTGGTGGATGACTGGCTGGTCCGATTAGCCATCCAATATCCCGTTTGGTCTCTGTTACAATGACGTGCACATAAGCGCGCTCTATTTGATAGGCATGTGAATTATGTATAGTGAACTATGAACGGTAGATCGATGGAAAATGTATGCCCTGTGCTCCTCTTCTATGGATCATGCTTATCAGGAACATCTTGTCGCTGGCCGCGGTGACGGTTTTGCCTATGTGAAGGCTAGCGAAGCACTAAAGAAGGGCGCAGAGATGAATATATGGATGGCCACCTTTGACAGATCCAGCGTCCCCGGCTGTCACCATTGTCTTCCCGTTTGGTCTGTCAGTTGGACTGACTGGGGCTTCAATGTGTTTGTTGGCTAGGCCGTACGTGTGTCTGGGTCGCACGTACGTACTTGTCGCTAGGCTAGCCATCAATATTCACCCCTCAATAGGGCTGAACAGAATATCAAAGTAGCTAGTACGGCTACCAGTGACCAGTCGCACACAGCCTGCATTCGTTCTCAAGCCACATGTCTGTCTGTTTGCAGTTCGTACATCTATCCTTAACTGCGTCTCTTCGTACGCATGTTTGCACTTACGTCTTATAGTTTATTTGTATATCTTCCTGACCGATTGCCCATCTCCCAACCGTTCTCACGTCTCACCTCTGTCTTCTTTTCCAGTCGGAGAGCGTCTCTGACCTCGGCAGCGGCCTGGTGCGGGCTCTCGCCGCTCTGGGCGACCAGTTCCCGTACTACCGCCGCGCCTGTCTGCTGATCGGCATCGCCTGCCCCGCCCTGACGCTGACCGCCGTCCGCCTGCTCTCCGCTGGCCGACCCACCTTCCAGCTGGCCTCACTAGTGACCCTCGGTGTGCTCGTCTCGGAGCTGTGGTGGTCCGTGTCGCGGATAGATGGCGCTGGCGGCTGGACGCCCCACGCCCGCCTGACTGGCGAGGCGGTAATGGCGGTGGTAGGGGGTCTGCTGATGATTGGGGGTCTGATCGCTTGGCTGTCGTTCGGTGAGAAGAAGCCTGGGAAGGATCTGGAGCTGACGGCTCGTGATGTGGAGATGTATAAACTGCAGCACGGTGGTGGGGTCACGGCCACCAAATACCGGTGGCATCAGCCGGAGACAGTGTGATTGTGTTGCCCGAGAGTCGTCTGGGCTTCGCTGTGTACGATGGTGATATTTTGAAGTGTTCTATTTTTGTCTTTTTATTGAAGCGTCGATCGCAATGTGCAGTTGCAGTATGTAATAAAGAGTGCATGACTTGCCCCATGCTCATGCGAGTTGTGAAGCCTGCGAGCGTATCTTCGTGGCTTCATGAGCTAATGTGAATTAATTAGACATTTGTGGTGAGTTAAAACCGAGACGTGCTACGCTAGCATAAGTTACCATTTCTTGTGTTAAGTAGGTATATATTTATATTGTTTTAGATGAAGAGTTTTGCAAATGGCCGAAGCAAACCTGCATTCGACGCAGAATATATTCCTGCCCGGGGCCGGGATGATTCAATAAATGTCACCGAGGTTTTTTAGCGAAAACTCCGAGGGCCGTTAGGCCCGAGGTGCTTTTCGCTAAAAAAGCGAGGTGCAACATTTATTGAATTCCCGGCCTTAGGGCTGGAAGGTGTTTCCCATACCTGCCAAAAAGCTCACAACTATAATTGATAGTGACGTCAGCAGCCGTGTGGTTCAACGCGTTTAACCACACCCCTTGAACCACACGGCTGGCAATATTAAAGCACTGCACTAAACTTTGAAAAGTGTGGTACAGTGCACGTGCCATTAAAATGCCTGGATGTCTCGATTTAATCATGCAATGTAGCAGGTATGGGAAAAAGTGCTTCCGCACGTTCGGGAGACGCCATCCGTTCATCAGTTAGTACCCCCGTACGGTGTACTCGTATGCATCTTTTTTTCGCATGGTGTTTATAAACGCATCAGAAAGCCGTAGAAAACCATGGCCCACAGTGCTATGATTTAATTCATTGCTGGCAAGCACTAGTGGTGTCTTTGTACAAGGCCGTACCTATAGGTATAAATATTCATAGTGTGCGCGTGTGTATGTGTCTTGAATTTATTATGGTATACATCCGTTCTTTACAATCACATCCTTTGCGGCTTCGCCACGAATACGTTTATTAGCCTAACAAAGCTGAAAATGTCAGCATGCGAACTTGGTACCTATGTGTGGGTAATCGGCCGTCCGTGTGTAGCGAGGATTGTGTACAGACAATGTACATCTAGGTATACATACACAACAGACGCTGTTCGCACTTAGTGCCGCTTAATTGTTGTAATAAAAGGTGGTCAGCAACGAAAGTAAACGGTGTAAAGCTGAACGTTTTTACGAGTACTCCGGGGTGGCTTTATCATTTTTTTTTTGTGGAGGAGTGAATCAAAATAAATAAAAGGAAAAGCGGAACATGCGTAGTTCGTAGGTATGCCTAGTCACTGACAAAAGGTTTCGGCAGTTTCTCGGCTCGTTACTTTTCACAAGCAAACCATTCATGTTAACGAGGAAGTTGATAAATTACACAGAGTAGTAAAACAGACACGGTATTACGGCCAAGATCAAGACACCGCTCCTCTTTCCCATCCTCGGGAGTCAAATCATTCTCGCTCTCGGCTCAAACCCCCTATAGGTTCAGGACTGGACAGTCACCCTCATCCGACGTGGGTAGCTCCTCTGGAGCAGGCCAGAAGTCCGGTGAGGTGACCGTTGGCGGGGCTAGGTGGTCTGTCCACTGGACGCCGAACGGGCTCAGCCCCGGCGGTGCAACGGGGTGTCCTCTTAGATAAATGCCTTCCCCTCTGCCCTCACCCTGATTCCTAGCATCTTTCCGGCTCGGTTAACTTAAAGGTCTCGCTAGACAAAAAGTTAGAACAAAAGCTAGAACGAAAAGAGTGTTGGAAAATTAGGGGATAGTACTAAGCGGTCACCCTGGTGCACCACCGCAACTGAGTCCATCGGCGTTCCGATGGACAGGTCATCCATGGTCCGCTAACGGCCTGGATGATGAGCGAACTTCTGAGACGGCGGTTGTCGATAACTGACCAGCGCGGGGCAGAGGCTTTGAAGTGGAAATGCGCTTCTTGAGGAAAAGTTAGAAGCTATGTAAACCGATCAGCGGGATCGGAAGGAACTACAGAACTAGAATCCCACTAAACTCTCTCACGATGCCTTTCGTGTTGAATCTCACAATCCTTTACGCTGATAGTGTTTTTTTTTATCTACTAATGCTTCCAGATTGATTCCAACTTATTCATTTCTAGCGCACATTTGCCATTTGCGAATTTATCGATTTCCTGTTGTAAACTTATATCCGCGTCAAAGAGCTAGATGTGATCGGCAGTGTTTCCGTGTTATTTTCAAGTGGTTGGGCTGGTTTTCTAATCTGAAACTGTCAAAATGCATTTCCCAACAAGCTGCATTACTGTTTTGCTCACTTTGTTAATCCTACCAACTTCCTCATGGAACCCTTATGAGATTCTTGGGGTGGAACAAAATGCTGATTCTTCAACTATAAAAAAGGCATACAAGCAAAGAGCCAAAGAGTGGTAAGTAATTTACTGGCTTATGATATGTGATGTTGGCTGTTATATCTGCTTTTGTTGCTCTAACCCACTCGTGTTGGTGTGCTATGTATTTCATGTTTTCACAATTACAATGAGTACGAACCAAATGAATTTTCAGATTTGCTTTAATATGCCTTCGTGGGTTTCGTCTATTATAATTAGCAGAGCTGGGCAAGTGCGCTCCTCTAGTGCGTTCCTGCGTTCTTCCGTACGTACGCACCGCCCTTTTTAGGAACGCAAGAACGCAGGAACGCAAAGTTTTTCAAAGGAACGCAAGTAAGAGGAACGCACCACCCGAAATTTTGAAGCGTTCCTGCGTTCTTGCGGAACCACCCGAAAAATTATATTGCTGCCAATGACCTCTGTGTCAAATGTTTGAATCTCGAGTACGTGTGTTTGCCGGTAGAGGCGCCACTTGTCGGTCGAATCGAGGAAGGCTTGCTTAGATTTAGTGGTGATGTTTACTATTCGATTTGGTTTCAGGCATTAAATGTGTAAAAAAATTTAGTGGTGATGTTTACTATTCGATTCAGTTTCAGGCATTAAATGTGTAAAGTAAATATGATAACTTTTACTAAGATGCATCTTTTAACTTAACTATTGTTTTCTAAGCAGGTCGTATTTTTGTTGAAAACCCTATTGATATTGGTAAAACGTATTTCAGATATTCGATTCGGAAAAGAGATGTCGAGTTGCTTTTCGGCCCCACGTCGCCATTCTGGGTATTCTGTGATCGATTCGCCCCGTGTTTGGTTGGGCCCGCGCCGCGTGGTTCGGCGGTATTTTTGAGGGAGGAACGCAGGAACGCAGGAACGCTAACGCACCGAACGAAAAAAATTGAGGAACGCTATTCCAGGAACGCACTAACCGCGGCCGGAGGAACGCAGGAACGCTAACGCACTACCAAAAATCGAGGAACGCGCCCAGCTCTGATAATTAGGTAGTAATTTGCAGCATAAGATTGTGGCCATGGTTGTAGAAATGGATAACCTTATTGGCAATGTCAAATGTCAAATATGAGCACTAACTATCCTGACACTGGCGAGATGAAAATGCATTACACAACTGCTAAACTCCTCATTTGACCTGCTGTTGTTAGCACTTTTATCATTTTGGCACCTTCAATTTTTACAGGCATCCAGATAAGAACTCCGCTCCAGATGCTGAGGAAAAATTTGTTGAAATCAAGACAGCCTATGAGGTGAGTACTGAGTAGGTATCCATCTTCCATTCAGTTAGGTATTACCCAAATGTTTTTTTTTTGTTATTTTTTGTCATGTAATTATTATAATTTCATATGAGTCAGATGCAAGTGTTTAAAACCTTTAAGCTGCTTTGAGTATTTGTAATGGTCTGTCTCACTTTAAACTATCTCCTGCGTCTCAACTTTAGGTTCTGTCAGATCCAGAGCGCCGCAGGAACTATGACAACACAGGCCGCACAGAGGAGACCCCTAACTTCCGACAGCCACCCCGCGGCCATCCGTTCTCACCAGATGACCTGCTGCATCACTTTGCCTTCCGCCGGCACGGCACCATGCTCTTCCACAAGCAGTCCATCACACTCAGGTGAGCGAGGATGTGAAGTGGGGAAGTCGTGCAGCTTATCATAGTGAGCAATTGTGAAGCCTCTGCAGTTGTGTTTCATCCATTTGGGTTAGGTCAGGTCAGGTCAGATCAACCAGTAGGCATCCTGCTGACAATCCACACCTATTAGGTGTTAACCACCACTGACAGTTTCGTAACATGTTATGTGAGCACCAAAATTACCCTAGAATGTTCATATGGGTGGTGGGTGCTGAATTTGGAATCAGCTCCAAAAACTACCCCATAAACATGTAAAACTAAAAAAGTGAAAGAATGTCATTGAAGGTCAATGGCCTTGACCTGGCCCTTACATGACCTCGACATCCACAATAGAGCATGAGACAGACATCATTACACATGTTGGATCATTTATGACCACAAAAAGACCGGGAACACGCGGATAATGTGCGCTGACATACGCCGGACCGTGACATTCGGCGTGACATGGTCTCGTGAAACAGGTCACAGGTCAAAAGTCATTTGATTCAGGGTCATGAAATTTTCAGGGTGGTTGTAAAATTGATCAACTCGAGGGTACTTTCAGTTTCGTCGCGATTGTCCACTTTTTGCCCGAGATTTTTGCGAAAAAAACGGAAGGGGGTCCGTTCCCCCTGTAAGTGCGAGGTTTAATGTCAATTCATCTGGTAATTGGTATGTAATAATTTACGCTCTTTGAAGTCAAACTCAACTTTATTATATAAGTGCAGACTATCTTTGGATGAATGTACCTATTCATGTTGATGATGACTACCACACGTCGCCCCCAGGCAATACGAGAACAAGGTGCTGCCGTCGAGTCGGACGTCACCCACGCTGCTGCTGGCCTTCTCGGAGTGGTGCTTCAGCTGCGTCCAAATGGAGCCCGTCTGGGCCACGCTCTCCGAGGAGCTGGGCAACGTCGGCATCGGCGTCAGCACGGTTAGTGACCGGTCGGAGAGAACGCTCCTCCGCAGAATCGCGTGCAACTTTAAAGACATTCCCCATCGAGAGAGGATGGTTCCATGACTAGTATAAACGAGATTGATGCATTAGCCGTTCGTAAATGTTCTTTTTTTGTCTCAGCCTTTCTGCCTTTTTATTGCAGTTTTTTATTTAGACGAGACTGTGTAACCGACAAATAACTAAGGCCCATGCCGTATTCCCGACGCTCAAAGACCTGTCGCTGCTGACTTTCCTCTGACCCTTGACCTTTAACCTTCGATTGTTGACCTTTGACCTTGAATCGTTGACCTTTGACCTGACGTGCAGGTGCACGCCGAACATGAGCGGGAGCTGGCAGGGCGGCTGTCGGTGGACTCACTGCCCCGAGTGTTCCTCGTGCTGGACGGACGGGTGGTGCGCTACCCCCGGGACGAGTTCAGCTTCGCTCTGGTCATAGGTGAGACGCAGATGGTGCTCGTGGTGGTTGGGGTTAAAGAGAGCCGTGGGGGACTGAGGATAAAACGTTGATAAAGGACACATTGTTACTATCATTTGGCTTCATAAACGTCTTTATTCGACAAAGCTAATAGCGTTTTACGGGTATTTATCGATCAATTCAATCATTATTCTATACAGATCCATTTTTATTTTACATAGGTAGCAGGCTTCGTGGTTCTCGATTTTTTTTTTTTAGCGACTTGTGGAGCCCAGTTCAATAGTGGGAAGTCGCCACTGCCACCCATTTTATAGGGATGCTTTTTTGTTGTTGTTGTTGTTTACCATCGCCGCCTGCCTTCCGTCCCTCAGACTTTATCCGTTCGAAGATGTCTCCGGGGCTGTTCACTTCTCTGACGCCCAGTAACGCCGACACGTTCCTGGCCGGCTGGACGGATAACCGGGTGCGGCTGGTTCTGTTCAGCCAGAGACCCGAGCCACGGCTGCGCTACATCACACTGGCCTACAAGTTCCGCGCTTCGGCCGCCGCGGCGTGAGTGCACGGTGGATGAATGGATGGATGGATGAACGAACGAACGAACGAACGAACGAACGAACGAACGAACGAACGAACGAACGAACGAACGAACGAACGAACGAACGAACGAACGAACGAACGAATGAATGGATGGATGGATGTATGACTGAATGAATGAATGAATGAATGAATGATGAATGAATGGATAATTGAATGAATGAATGAATGAATGAACGAATGAATGAATGAGTGAGTGAGAGTGAGTGAATAAATGAATGAATGAATGTATTGGATAAGTAAATGGTGCGTGCGTGTGATGGAGCTAGGCTACAATTAAATGCAGATTTATCGTGAAATGTCTTTAGCTAGTTCCAGCCAGGCACTGAATAGAACGTAGGTAATAAATAAACACATGCCTGAATATCCGTCGTAACGTATGATGAACAATTAACACGTAAGCATCAGTAGCACTTTCTTTCTCATTGCACTCCCGCCCTCCCTCTATGCCCCATCTCAGACCCTCGCTTCTCCGCTCAGATACGTGCCAACACTGTCAGCCGACTCGGCACCTCTGCTGGCCACCTACGGAGTACCGGCGCGCGCCGAGACGCTGCTGGTGCTGAAGGAGGCGCCGAACGCGCCGGCCGCCACCCTCAGCATGGACCAGCTGCCCTTCAACACCATGGTGGATGTGGTGGAGAAGAACCGGTTCCTGGTGCTGCCGAGGCTGTCTTCGCAGGTGAGTGCTGGGGGACGCTTGAGAAGGTATAGGGGGAAAGGTGGAATAGTTGGGGAATGAAGGGCTTGGCAGCGAGCGTCCGATTAGGACTGATGACCTAGTTCCTATAGGGAATGTCCTTTATCGTATTATGCGATGTGAAAATGATGTGGTTGCACTGTCTCAAGAAGTACCAGTTACCTGCTCACGACCTCACACAGCCACCGTATAGTCGACTACAGAATGATGTTCCACTCCTCAGAAGCTATCAGTTGACCGGAGCGCTAAGTTGTACCGTTTATCACGCAATTAAGCGTGTCGATTGTGAGCATTGGGACTAAGCTATAATTTGTGAACTCAGCCCATGTGATGCGGCACAGCCTACCACTCCAGGCAAATGATTGCCTGTGAAAAGTGGAACATCATTCTGTAGTCAACTATACTTCACCGTGTGATCAATCATCGCCCCCGTCCCTCTTTCTCTCTGCCCTTGTGCTTCTTTCGGTGCTGTACACATGCGTCCCAAACAAACCTTCGAGCATTATGGCTGACCTCTGCCTCCCCTCTATCGTCCTCAGTCTGTGCTGGACACGTTCTATCTCACCGAGGCCTCTCACGCTACGACTGACCACTCCCCCTATCGTCCCCAGTCCGTGCTGGACACGCTCTGTCCCACCGAGGCCTCCCGCGCACGGCGCCACCTATGCGCCGTGCTGGTGGCACGCTCCGGGGACCCCCAGACGGCACGCCAGGCGGCGCTGCGGGAACACGTGTGGACCGCCCGGCTGACCAGCCCACGGCTCCGCTACGCCTATATCTACATGGACAAACAGGCCAAGTTTCTGGATAATCTGCTCAAAGGTGAGTGGTGCTGCGGTGGTTGGGAAGGGTGTGGCTTTGAGATGTTCTACTGGGTGGCCAGAGGCCCGGAAAGGATGGTGTTGAGCGATGTTGCGCGCTTGTTCTTTTTTTTTTAGAATGAGATAGTTGGTAATCGCTCACTGCCTTTAGGTCAGTATTGTGATTGTCGTTCCTCGTATGAATGAATGCAATGTGCATTCATTCATTGAGTGCTTTTGCAGTGTGCTGGGAGGTACCTGTCCGGCAATTGTAAGATAATTTGTTTGCTGGAATCACCGTCACGCCCAGTTTTGTAATCTCTGCTGACCTGTAACCTCTGTTAAAGGGACTCTCCCACCTTAACATTAGATTTGAGTTGAGATAGCCAAAATGGGGTCCCTGGCTCACAATTACCGGTTTCGGCACTCACAACATCGAGAAATGCCTTAAATCGGAAATATTGAATTTCAAAATTGCAGCATTTTGATTCAGAGGGGCTAATGCTTAGGAATACCCCTCTGAATGTGTGACGTCAGCGCAAATATCTAACGATTTTTAAATGTTTGACTAAAACGTTTTGTAGCACGCGGTGATATATGCTATTTGCGCGCAACATCTGCCGCAAACGCCGCACTTCTAAAATAAAGTCGCTAGAAACAGTGGAGATCCTAAAAAAGTAAACAAAAGTAAAAGTCTAATATCTTGAAAACCGGTGAATATTTTTCGGTGAAATTTGGTAGATATATGTTTTCGCTCAATTTGAACCGAGCGACATCACTTTCATGCCAATTCATAAACTTTTTTGAAGGTGGGAGGGTCCCTTTAACCTGTGCTGTGACCTCTTCTGACCTGTAGCCCCTAATGATCTGTGACCTCTGTTGACCTGTGCCGGGTGTCCTGTGACCCCAGAGTCGTCTCCGGAGGACCCGGTGGGCCACGTACTGATTCTCTGGCGTCAGGACAGCAAACGGGTCCAGTACGACTGGACCGAGGACCAATGGGAGACCAAGCCGGACCGCGTGAACCAATCGGTCCGCCGGCTGGAGGACCGGCTGCGGCTGCTGCTGACCAGCACCGAACTGCTGCCGCATCAGACCACCGTGCAGGTAGGTTCAACGGGGGATATACACACAGAACAGAGCTGCTACCACATCAGGCTACCGTGCAAGTGGGTTCAACGGGGAACACAAAGAATACAGCTGTTGCCGCATCAGGCCACGGTACTGATGAGTCCAACATACTGTAATAAGTACCGCAGTCCGATTCTGCCGCATCAGACTGCGGTAGTGATCAATCTGCCGTCCTGCTTCTTGGTTTTATAAAATGAGTTAAACACTCGTTTGGCTACCAGCTTGTGGTATTTCGCTGGCTTCTCGGTTCCCAGAATCCAACAGCCAGGTCTGCTGTTCTCTTTCTCCCTCATCTGGCGTGATTTCACACAAGCTCTACGCATGGCTTATCTTTACTGGAGCTGCGTACCCATTACGCACCATTTTTCAGAGTGGAGAACCTGGATGATATTACCACAGGCGCACATTTAGTGCCATAATGGTTAAGTGGACTACCGGTAACGCGAGAAGTTTGGAATTCCCTACGGATATTAGAGTGGTCATTGGTCACATTATTGTTTGTTATTGGAAACTCACGACGTGGTCTTCCGTCAATAAATGTTCCTTGTGGTAGTTTGCTGGGGTTGCAGTTTCGCTTTCCGGCTGTCTGGGTTGCTATTTTACATGGGACGAACTAGCATAAGACTAGTCTGAGACTACAGTTAACAGTTAACACCGATATAATTGTTCACTACTGTTTCTCAGTGCAAACTTCTTCTGCTGCTTCATACCTCAGTAATCAGTATAGGCTCGCATGATATAAAAGTAGGCAATCGATACGCTCGTTATAGCTACACAATTAAGTAATTAAAGTTCCTTAATGTTTGCGAAGACTCAGCAGTATGCCGCCGGATTCCATCGATGAAGCTTTTATTTGCCTTGCCATTCAGTGCATTTGATTGGCCTTTTATCGGACAATATTTCCGGCAGCGGCATACCCCAGCCGACGGATATCTGCCAGTGTTAGCTCGTCACCCACTGGCATAATACGTAAGCGTCCTTTGCTTAATATATGCGTGTGCTCCTCCGTCGCATCGCGACACTGACTCAGCAACTGTCAGGTGAAATAGGCGGTGTCGCATGACAGCAATGCCATTTCTTTGAGAAGTACGAGAACTGCGACAAGCCCTACGGAGAAACGCAGTCTTATCCAAACTTCATAGGTAGTTGTATCTCCAGATACCGCGTTCCCGGCTATAATTTTGTTCATCTTTAATGTCGAGCTTGTAAAGCGTTAATGGTCTATCCCGCGTCCCCGACCGATAGCTTCGAGCAGCGATATCACATACCTCTGACAAACAGCATTTTCTTTTGGTCAGCCATATAGATTGCATGACCATTTTTGAGTTATGCAATATTGAATATACGTACATAACACATGTATTGACACATTGAGAACAGAATGCGAACTGGTCGGTCACAAACCACAGGCCTGGGACCTCACCAGCCATACGCTTTTCGACGCTGACTAGAGACAAAGCGCCGTCTTCCAAGACGAAGCGCTCTCCGCTATGGTCGCAGACCATACCCTGAGGACGGCCATGGTGAGCTTTCATGACGTTCGAGACTCAACGGTGCCGGCTACAAGTAGATGGCAAGTGTCGAGCGCATTATGGGCTGGTTAAATTGACAGAGTCCGCTGAAATTCACTGAGCTGCCAAACTCTGAAGTTTGACCGATTTCTGAGCGGCACTAAACCTGTTTTCGATGAGATCGTCTCACCGCGATCGTGTACACATAGATAACGCTCTTTTTGTAAGGGCAGAGTGGGCTCGGCATTGATATTGAATGCGTGAGCTCCGCCGCTGAACGCTAACTGCTCTGCTGGCTGTTGGTTGATCCTGATGACTGCTGACGGGACTTGCTGACTGGTGACATGATGTGGGGCTCAGCGGGCCAGCATCCTTGCCTGCTGTGCCAGGCCGGCCCAGACCTCGCGAGCCGTCGGCAGGATGAGGCGCGGCGGCAGCAGGAACCCGTAGAAGCCCTTGTCGCGCGCCTCGATGGCCACGCTGTGCCGAACCCCGGCGCGGTACGCCCAGTCGGTGCTGGTACCGCTGTCCAGGTACAGCACGCGCGACGAGATGCCGTACCGGTACGGCACGCCGTTGACGGCACGCATGGCGCGCGTGGCGGCGCGTCCCACGCGGCGCTGACGTCCGATGTCCTTGCTGGCGAACCAGCTGTAGCCGTAGGGCAGCAGCCACAGCTGGCCGTACGAGTGGACCGAGTTGAAGGCGGCGATACGGCGCCGGTCGCGGAGCACGGCGTCACGCACTGCGCGACTCTCGAGCTCTGAGAACGGCCGGTAGCCGGGGAACGTCAGGCCGCACTCGAGAAACGTCACGCCGAACGTGCCCCAGCGCGCCGCGAAGTTTCGGTTGAGGTCGACGCCTGTGCAGTAGTTGACTGGACGTCTGTTCTTACGCCAGAGACGGTCGTGCGTGTGTGAGTACTCGTAGCCATCCGGGTTCATCACAGGTACCAGGTGCCAGTCGTACTTGACGAGCCAGCGCTGGTCGCCGGCCAAGAGACGACCGATGGTGTACAGACAGATGGCCGGCGAGATCCACTCTCGCGCGTGCACGCCGCAGTCAATCCACATTACGGGCTTCGTGGCCGGCGCGCTGACGTCCTCCCTCAGCCGTACTAGGTACAGAGGTCGTCCCTCGTGGGTCCGACCGATCACGTGCAGGGTGACGTGGTCGGGGAACCGTGTCGGCAGCCGCCGCAGCAGCGCCTCGATGTCGGAGAAACGGTGGTAGGCGCCCAGGTTGAACCCGTCGATATCCGAGTCATCGTCCTCTTCATCGTAGATGCTGTTGGTTTCTAATTCAGCGCCGTCTCTGTCGCTTCCGCTGTCCAGACGGCCTCTTCGATTGTCGGCGTTGGTGCCGAAACCCGGGAAGGCGTTCAGTTTTCGCATGGCACGGCTACTGGAGTTTCCCGAGCCATCTCTTAGGAGGTCTTTTGCGCGGCCTCCGGCGCGGTGAGCCTCATTCTCCGACTGCTGCGAGTCGATGATGCTCTGGACGTCGCCGATTCGGAGTCGGAACGGCACATCGCTGGTGTTGAGGACGCTCTCCAGTCGCGGAACGTCGTCGGGCCCAACCTGGACCTGCAGCCAGCCGGACGAGCCCCCTTTGTCGTCCCACAGCTCGAAGCCACCTTCGGTGACCAGCTGCCGGATCTGCGAGGCCTGGCTCCGGTTGGCCACGGCCACATCGTACACGCGGTGCCTGAGGGCGTAGAGACAGGACTGGTGAGGGAGAGACAGAGTGGGGTATAGCCGCCTTATAATCGCTCAGAAGCACGCTTTTCTGTCCGTGTTTTAAGATAAGATATGCTGTTTATTATGTTGGCTTAATACGATTTTAGTGGTATTTTACAACTAGCCATTTAGTGGTATTTAAGATAGTTGGTTAGCACTTGTCCTTTTTTAACTGCAGTTAGTTTTGGACAGGTGCAACTCTCCTATCACTGCTGGGTAATTGATACATAGAGGATTCTTCATGGCTCCGAGTGAAAGATAAGGATATCTTTTCCAAGCGGGTTACTGAAAAACCGAGCGACGAAGGAGCGAGGTTTTTCTGTAGCACGCGAGGAAAAGATATCCGATCTTCCACGAGTGAGCCATGAGGAATCCTATATCTTTCTATGTTGAGGTTTATTCTTAATTAATAAAATATTATATTTAAATGCATTCATCTATGTAAAAATAGATTCAGAGTAGTTTATTCTTATTTCACAAGTTTCATCCATAAACAACCATTAAAAATGTCGTTCGGTTATTGACCCATCATCACATGAACTCTTGATTTTTCGCTATGAACCCTCGAGACCTTATCTTTGCATCTCAGAGGGATGCAGATATAACAAAGTCTTATCTTTGCATCTCAGAGGAGTGCGAGATAGAAATATCCCTGCACTGTAGACCCAATGGCAAATAAACCTCAACTAGAAAGATATACATATCCTGTTCTCCGATGCGTATATCGCGCCATGGTATCCCTCTCGGCACGCGCCCACTTAGTACACACAACAATCGTATTAACCCACGCAGCCACCGGCTGTCACACCTGCGCGCGGTGTCAATGCCCGACTGAGCCGCTCTCGAGTGTCCAGAAAATCATCAGCCATGCCACTTCACCGGCTGTTAGTGCGTCATTGCTATTAACCCGAGCGGTAGCGAACGCTCTTTACTGCATTCATTATTTCTGGGGTATCCCGTGTCCGTCTTCGCATGGCTTCTCACTTTGCGAGCTGCGACAACGTGTGAGGCAAGATGAATAACTAAGCGTCTTTGCTAGAAACTAAGTAGTAAAGCCTGGTGGGGTAGCCTATTGTGAGGTGGTATAATTGCGGGCTTAAGAAGGTGTTGGTACGTCGAGGAAGGCTTCATAGCAACAGAATATTCATATGAAAATTTATCAGAGTAGCGCGCACCAAGCATGCAGGAATACCGACTCAGCTTGTAGCATAAAAGTCATCGGTGAAACCAATATCTCTTCCTTTAATGAACAATTAAAGTTGAAGTCAACGCTGCGTGCAAGTGACCTCCGTCGTTGACCCAGCGACCATAACGGCCGGTTACGACACAGTCCACACCCTGCCGATAGCGATGGACCGCGCGCCCTGCCCTTCCCGCCCGGCGCTGCTGCGGGCGACTCTCTCTGGACAGTGTCCGGGGATCACCGGACCATGAGGCGCGGCTCGTGACTGTCCGCTGTGTCGCCTCATACGCCTACCATCTGTGTTTGTCTGTGTGCATGTCTGTGAGTGTGACACTGGGATGGGACGTAGCTCGGGGTGGTGGTATGACATCCGGCCGAGGCTGTCCATTGTGCATTTGTCAGTTAGTCTCGGTTAGCGCATTTATGGGTTCATACAAGCCCTGCTTAGCTTGAATTTATGCTCAGAGGGCGGTTCAACTTGTGCCCGTGCAATGTGCAAGCGTGTAGAGTTGATTTTTTTTTTTGTAAGTTCGTAAGTTCTAA